ATCTGCCTAAGAATGGCAAAAAGAACCATGGAAACCACTGTTGTCACTCAACATGGTCATGTGACATCATGTCACTTAGCAACAGAGTTGCTAGTTCCAATTACCATCATTAAGCGAGGATTGTCTGTATGTACAGATAGTACAGATTCAGGAGCTTTGATTTGAGACGACACACCTTGCCATTTTATAGATTTTTGAGATCATTGTCCTCTCCCCTGAAGAAGCTTCTATGTATTTATTTATTAGATTTTTACACTGCCTTTATTACTTTATAAATAACTCAAGGTGGCAAATATACATAATACTCCCTCCTTCTCCTATTTTCCCCACAACAACAACCCTGTGAGGTGGATTGAACTAAGAGAATGTGACTGGCTCAAAGTCATCCAACCGGCTTTCATGCCTAAAGTTGGACTAGAACTCACAGTCTCCTGGTCTCTAAACCAGCCCCTTAACCACTAGGTCAGGGATAGGCAACCTTGGCCCTTTCATGACTTGTAGACTTCCACTCCCAGAATTCCTGAGCCAGCATGGCTCAGCATGGAAACCTCTCCCTTTCTCCTCAGCATGACTGGCTCAGGAATTCTGGGAGTTGAAGTCCATGAGTCATAAAAGAGCCAAGGTTGCCTACCCCTGCACTAGGCCAAACTGGCTCTATAAGATAATATAACATATGAAATGTCTTTAATTTTTACTTAAAGGTGGACTGGAAAACCACTCTACCAAGCAGATGGTAAACCAGAATATAGTTATAATGATTTAATGACAAGGATGATAAATGTATTTTTATCTCACTTATAGATACCAGTGGAAATCTTTAAGCTAATGGCCATTACTGAACCAGAAAGTCTATGATTCACCACACCTATGGCTGTTTGCCACCATGATCTGCAATTTGAGCCTTGCATTTTGCTGCTAGTTACAAAACAGATGAAAAAGGATACATTTTTCTTGGTTTTTTTAGTTCCATTTTTTCCTAGCCAATCGGCCCAAGAATAAACTGAATACAAACACTATTTGGAAAGGCAACATAATGTGCTCTTAGTAGTAGATTAATGAATGTAATTATCTCCCATTGTGGAAGTACATGCTGCAAACCTTGTAATTTATGGAGCACTATAAAGTTCTAATGTGTTTTTATGTCTTAAGCCCTTAACCATAATCTAATATATTTTGTATCCAGCCTTATTCTTAAGTGGTTCCCAGCTTTGTGGGGAAGATAAATCCTTCCCAACCCCTGGTCATTTTTGCCTGAATGTGACACAACTGAAAATACCAAATTTTCAATCAGGTATTAGAAAATAAAACAAATCCTGGAACCCAAACACTGCTTTTGCAGATAATTGATTCCACTAATTGAATTGGTTACATTTATAGTCTGCTTTTCTTTAAAGCTGGAATGCAACATAACATAAAAAAACAGATGTGGCTTCTATCCCACCTTTGTGGGTTCCATATTGACTGTTTGATCACACCCGTGGATAATCGTGTTTAGTAAATGATTGTGAGAAAGAAGGTTGGTACATGGCCATTAAGCTAATCCGACTTTCCCCATTGACCTTGCTTGTTGGAAGTCAGCTGGGGAAGGTCACAAATGACCGTAATCACATGACCCAAGACGCAGCAACTATCGTAAATACATGCCAATTGCCAAGCACCCGAATTTAGATCATGTGACGATGGGGATTCTGCAACAGAGCTAAGTGTGAGGACTGGTCATAGATCACTTTTTTCAGTGCTGCTATAACTTTGAAAGGACACTAAATGGATGGTTGTGAGTCAGGGACTATCTGTACATAATGTGGAAATTTAGGGGAAAAAGTTGAGCTGTTTTACGGAACAGTGGATTGATAATTGCTTAGGCAAGTTCCAAGGCATTTCTTACCAATAATTTACAAACTATAAATTTACAATAATTTACAGACCTCAATGGAGCCCAAAATTTCTATTGCTAAGTGAGACAATTGTTAAGTGAGTTTTGCCCCATCTTACAACCTTTCTTGCCACAGTTCTTAAGTGAATCACTACTGCTGTTACATTAGTAACACAGTTGTTAAGTCAATCTGGCTTCTTCATTGGCTTTGCTCATCAGCAGGTGTTATGTCCCAGTCTACATGAGTCCTTGTTAAGCTCACAAAGAGAAACCCCTCTTCCAACAAGCAGACTAGAACAGCAGGAAAAAAACCAGCCCCTTTTTATTATTCACAGACCTGAGTCAATGTCCAAAGCAAACAAAACACAGTTCACAGAAACTCAATTCTTTAACAGGAACAGTTGCCTTTGGCAACCAGCACCTCCCACACCTTCCCTTTTATTATGCAGCCAAAGCATGGCTTCCTAATGCCTTCTCCTTTGGAGCTGCCCCATTGCATTCCTCTGTCCTACTCTCTTTGCTTGCCGGTGTTTACGTGCAACCTGGATATCTCCCAGTTGTGATTCATTACTGTCCAACTCAGACTCCCAGCACAGCTGTGTCTCAGCCTGAGCACGAGTAGAGGGGCCAGGCTCCTCGTCAGACTGTAAGTCTTGGAGCGCCTCAGAGCCTTTCTCTGACTCTGATGTCACTCCAGGCCCCTCCTTCTCCTCTAATTCCTCAGACTCAGCTGCCAGGTCCACTGGCTGGCGAGGAATCACAACAGAAGGTCTCAAAAGGTGACCAGATGACCATAGGACTCTACAATGGTCATAAATGCATGCCAATTGCCAAGTGTCCAACTTTCAATTATATGACTTGTGATCAAATGCTTCAATGGTCATAAGTGTGAAAAACAGCCATAAGTCACTTTTTTCAGTGCTGTTGTAACTTCAAACAGTAACTAAACAAATGGTTGTAAGTTGGGTACCATGGACAGCCAAGAAAATAAAATAGAAACTAATTTGGATTGTTCATTCAAGACACAAATGACAAAGCTCAAATTGTTCTATTTTGGACATTTATTCAAAGAGCTAAATATTGCTGGGAAAGTTGGCAAAAAAGAGGATGACCAGCTACAAGGTGAATATTCTTGATTATAATGGTGACAGGTGCATCACTGGGTGAGTTCCGGGTATGTTCAAAAAGATCTATTGTGTACCTCTATTTAAAACATTCCACCCTCACAAAAATCTTTTGTTTTCTCATTCCATTGCAGCCTCCCAGATACCTCCTGACAACACTTTGTTGTGCAAAGAGAGCAATTGCGAACCACCTTCCCTCCCAATAACCTCTCTGTTGTTATAACCCAGTGAAAATGCTGGCTTGGTTCTGTTGAAAGCCTATAATTCTCTGTGTTAACTACCAGTCAAGCACACCTAGCTATCAGCACTAAGTTCCCTGGCTCTGAACATCTGGGCCATATTGAATTTCAGAAGAATAACTACACAAAACAAGGGGGGAAATACTGTTTTCAGAAGTAGGAGAAAAAAATAATTATAAAGGAGCCAACAAATGTATTTTAAACTAAGCTGGGGTTTATGGTTCAGCACGTGCTGAGCATCTAACAGCTTATTTTAGCTAAATTATTATCTTTATACTCAGTCTTTCTACATATATAAGCACTGCAGGCTTACGACAATTAAAAAGAAACTACAAAATAACACCTTGGGTCAGTCAAACTACTGCATTGTGGCATGATATGTTTTATTCATTTGGGTGTAGCATGTTATGTGAACACAGCAATTGTCCCTTATTATGCCAGGTTTAAGATTTTGCAAGTTGCGTGAATTCAGATTTATCATGCCATACAAACACATATCTTTCTGGTCTCCAAGTTAAACAAATGCACATGGTCTTGTACATTTCTATGGGTATCTACATGTGTGTGTGTGTGTGTGTGTGTGTGTGTGTGTGCGCGCGCGTGAGAGACAGACAGAGAGAGAGAGAGAGAGAGGGAGGGAGGGAGGGAGGGAGGGAGGGAGAGAGAGAGAGAGATGAATGAGAATTTGGGTTCTCCATGCTTCATACATACATATGTGGGTAGTCATCAACTTACAACAATTTGTTTATTGACTGTTCAAAATTACAATGGCATTGAGACTTATGGCTATTTTTCAAACTTAGACAATTTGGATGCTTGGCAACTGGCATGTGTTTATGACAGCTGCAGTTCCGAGGGTCCTGTGATCACCTTTTGCAAGCTTTGGACAAGCAAAGTCAATGGGGAAACCAGATTCACTTAACAACCGTGTTACTAATTTAACAACTGCAGTGATTCACTTAACAACTGTGGTAAGAAAGGTCATAATATGAGACAAAACTCACTAAACAGCTGTCTTGCTTAGCAAGAGAAATTTTGAGCTCAATTGTGGTCATTAAGGACCGCCTGTATAGTTGTCCCCATCAAAATCAGGTCACTATGCAGAGAAGCAACAGTACAATTGGAAAGCATAGGTTTTTGTGCTCTATTCAAAACACATTCTGCATGATCTAACCGACCTACCACATCTTCTGGTACAGTAGAAACTTTCAGTCCCACTACTAGTGCTGAGCTAAGGAGTAATTTCCTAACAGTGAGAACAATTAACCAGTGGAACAGCTTGCCTCCAAAAGTTGTGGGTGCTCCATCATTGGAGGCTTTTAAGAAGAGACTGGACAGCCACCTCTCTGAAATGATATAGGGCAGAGGTGTCAAACTGCCAGCTCATGGGCCAGATGCATCATGCGGAAGCTGTGCCCATCCCAGCTCTGGCAAGGGGAAAAAAGTCGTGATACGTTGCGACATGTCACATGCTGTGGCGAGTTTGACACCCCTGGAATAGGATCTCCTACTTGAGCAGAGGGTTGGGCTAGAAGACCTCCAAGGTCCCTTCCAACTCTGATGTTCTATGTACTAAGTTAGATAGGACCACCTAGTGTAGCGCTAGCTATTTTGCTGCTCACATTAAAAGAGCAAGCAGTCAAATTTGTCCTGCTTGCCCTTCTTTAATCATGTGGTTTGGATCTTTGGGAGCAATCAGCAATGACAGTATCATTAGAAAAATATCCATTTTCTCCCCTCCTCCCTGGCCCCCCACCCTCCCAGGAGCAGAAGTGGGGAAATGACAGCACCAGGCAAGCAAAAAAAAAACAATCCATGATTTGCCTCTTGTTGTTCTCATCATTACTGACCGCTCGAAGAAAAGAAACAAACATTTCATCCACCCTCCAGGTAAATAAATATATAAAAATCAACCCCGCAGATGACCGCTTTTTCATTTACCAGCAGCTGCTGGCAAGAAAGATCTTGCACTCCCATATTCCTATTAACTGAGCAGCTGTTGATTTATTAAAGGCTAAGATACATCAAAACAAATGGCTGTGACATCACTTATATTGCTGTTTATGGCACTTTAATGGGTTTACATAAAAAGGACAACATATTGGAGATGGGAGATGGCTTATGAGCCTATCAAGAAGGGGGCAGAGAAATCCCTCCTCTCTCATAAAGTTGAGGAGGGAAGCAAATCAGCCCTCACTGTTTACTAAAGCTGTGATGGTAAATGAATCTACCTACCCATCTTCCTATCTATCACTCTCTCTCCCTCTGTCTGTCTGTCTGTCTCTCTCTCTCTCTCTCTCTTCCTCTCTCTCTCTCTCTCTCCATCCATCCATCCATCCATCCATCCATCCATCCATCCATCCTGTGACTGGGTAGCAAACAAGGATTTAAAACCAGAAAACAATGGAGCATCTCAATTAATTGGAAATAAAATACAGCCACAACCAATCAATATACATTATCCTGTGCCAGAGGTCCAAAAATATCATTCCTTCTTACAGTCAGTAAAACAAAAAATCAACGACTATAAATAAATTAACTACAGGCCTACCTAACATCCCATGTCAAGAACTGAGAGAAGAAGAAAATCTTGTGATACCCCTGGTCTCATTAACACTCAGCCTAAACCTGTCTTGTGATTTCTCAAAGTCACCTTCTTCTATAAAGCTGGCTCCTGCTTTTCTACTGGCTTCTCATGTTGTGTCTTCTGAACTGGTAGTGTCGGTGAGACTGTGATGAGAATCACAACGGTGTTTCAATTGATGGAGCTTCAACCGAGTCTCTCCTTTGAAGTTGATCCATGAATCAAAGCAATGAATGGAGGGCTTCACAGTCTTGCAATATGCTTTGCAGATTCAGTGATTTTTCTGATGCTTCAGAATGAAGTGAGGGGAAGTGTTGAGTGCTGTGATAGGCGGCAGACACTGATGTGAATAGCTAGCTGAATTCCTTTATTAAACTCTCTGAGTATCAGACATCTCTCCTAGAGGCAACGGTCATAAGTATGAAAAATGGTCAAAAATCACTTTTTTAATGACCTTGTAACTTTGAACCAAATGAACTGTGGTAAGTTAAGGACTACCTGTACAACTAGGAACTCAGTTTAGCCCTCAGCATTCTGCATACACTAAGACTGAGATTATTTTTAAGTTCTGCATGCATTAAAGGTTGGCCAGATAATACAAGCAGTGATCTGTTCTGATTTAGTGCTTTAAAATGGCAGAAGGACAGTAAGGTTGTGATTGACACTTTCTCTGGGGCTTGCTTATCTCTGGAGCATCATACCATCCCATCCTGTTTCTGTTGCCTTTGCTAGCTAACATTTATTTGTTTGTTCATTATTGCACCATTTATATACTGCCTTATTCCACCCAATTCCAGATGGTTCACGGTAATAAAACAAGAAATACAAACTAAAACAAGAAAACCATCTCAAAGGGAATATAGAGCAAGCAATAACTGCTATTAGTCACTGGTAATGCAAACTTAGGCATTTTCCCTATAAGCCAACATTAGCAGCAGGTGGGCTTAGAGATTGGGAAGCAATGGGTGAGAGTGTCCCTGGGGGGGGGTGTCCCTTTGGAACACTGATTTTTATAACCAAACCCAGCTATTACAGCTCATTGTAGTCTAAACATTCTCAAACCATGACAGAGCCAGGAAAATAAAGTTAACATCCTTTATAAATGAAACAAGTGAGATAAAGTGACTATTTTAAACTCACCAGCTGGTTTCAGGTCTAAGGCAGGACTAGAACTGACAGGTTCCCTATTTTTAGCCAGGTGTATTTAACCACTAGAGGTAGTCCTCAACTTATAACCATTTGTTTACCGATTGTTCGAAGTTAGAACTGCACTGAAAAAAGCAATGTATGAATGTTTTTCACATTTACGACCATTGCAGCATTCCCATGGTCACGTGAATTCAGGTGCTTGGCAACTGGTATATTTATGAGAGTTGCAGTGTCCCATGGCCATGTGATCATCTTTTGTGTCCTTTTGACACAAGTAAGGTCAATGGGGAAGCCAGAGTCATTCAACAATTGATATCAAGTGATTAGAATGCAGTATTGCAAGCTAACTCTGCCCACCGTCTGGAGTTCGATCCTGATGGGCTCAAGGTTGACCCAGCCTTCCATCTTTCCAAGTTGGTAAACTGAAGAGCCAGATTGTTGGGGGCAATATGCTAATGTTGTAAACCGCTCAGAGAGTGCTGTAAAGTACTATGAAGCGGTATATAAGTCTAAGTGTTATTGCTATTGCTATTATTGTTAATAACTTGCTACTAACATAACAACTGTGGTGATTCACTTAACTGTGGCAAGAAAGGTCGTAAAATGAGGCAAAACTCATTTAACAACTATCTCACTTAATAATGGAAATTTTGCACTCAATTGTGGTCGTAAATCGAGGACTATCTGTACATGAACCTGGCTCTTCTTTTTCAGGTTTCTTTCCCTAGCAAGATTTTCTTCTTCCATTCAATCGTCCTGGAGACTGCCTGGAGAAGTCCCTGCAGTTTTCTTGATGAGATTTTTTTCAGAATAGTTTGCCATTGCTGCCTTCCTAGGGCTGAGAGAGAGTGACTGGCCTAAGATCACCCAGTTAGCCTTGTATCTAAACTAGAATTCAGTCTCCTGGTTTTCTAGCCTGGTGCCTAACTACTACACCAAACTGCTCCTTAGCAGTAGTCTAAGTTTTATTTCAGTGGGGATTGGGAAGTGTTCAGTTTTCTGCTGCTTCCCTCTTTTATTTACTGAAATTTATTTACTGGAAAGGCCTTCAAATGTCAACTGCCAGGCAGCTGCCCAGTTTGTCATCTCATGTAGCTACCACTGAGCACAAATAAGTCCAAAATTCTCTGAAATAAATCTAGATTCCTGGTAGCAAGTAAGTCAGAACCCAGAGAGATGTATTCTAAGGTATCAACTGTTCCTGTCACACACACCCCACACACAAACACCCTACTTCAGTGGTTCTCAACCTTTCTAATGCCGTGACCCCATAATACAGTTCCCCATGTTGTGGTGACCCCCAACCACTTATACATCACCGGGTGCCAGGGGCATGGCCAAAGAAAAGGGGGAAAAAAATGGCGGACAGCCTTGTTTGGCGACCCCCGTGAAATGGTCGTTCAACCCCAAATGGGGTCCCGACCCACAGGTTGAGAACCACTGCCTTACTTCCTCAGGAGCACAACAAAAAAAAAAACCCAAAACCCAGAAAAACTGGACCTAGCTAAGGGGTTGTGGGGAGAGAGGGAGGCTGAAAAAGATACAAAAAGCATTCAGAAGGAAGGGAAGGGAATATCTAGGGGGGAAAATCATTAATTTAAAAGGTGGTGTCTTCATTTCCCCAAAGAATTTCATCTGGATCATCACAGAGGTAGGGAGTTAGCAATTTCCCTTTATTCTATCCTTCCACAAAGGAGAAGACAGAGATTGATGAACCAAGAAAAAAGGGGAATATAAACTGCTATTACCTCCCAAATTTGGATAGATACTCCCTCTCCCCCCAAAAAGTGGAAGAGGGTTCAAAGATCACATTTAGGGAAGAGCCCCCTTCCCCCAGTTCTGCTTCGGTGACTAGATTCCTCTCCATCGAACTAGTCACTGTGTGTGTGTGGGGCCACTGTGGGTCCCCAAACCCACAGTGTTTGAGTAGTAGAAAAGGATCTTTTCAGATCCCAGCAGAGCAGGCCCAGCTGCCCAATTTGTCATCTCATACAGCTACCAATGAACACAAATAGGTCCAAAATTCTCTGAAATGAATCTAGATTCCTGGTAGCAAGTAAGTCAGAAGGCTGGCTGATCAGGAAAAGCTTTTCCAGGACGTGCCACACTTGATGCCCAGCTATGCCAATCTCCTGTCACCCCAGAAATGCCAGAGACAACAGAGCGACATCACCCCACAAGGAGAAACCCATGGCCATTCTTCGGTATTGGCCAGGCCTGATACTACAAAAAACAAATGGAAATACACAAGACTATTTTTTTTTAAAAAAAATCATCTTTCAAACCTTATATTTTAAAATTGCAGTACATTATGACTTATGCCACAGATGAGCCCAAAATTTCTGTTGCTAAGCAGGATAGTTAAGTGAGTTGTGCCCCCTTTTACGACTTTTCTTGCCACAGTCGTTAAGTGAATCCCTGCAGTTGTTAAGTTTTGTTGTGATTAGTTGCGAAGTCGTGTCCAACCCACCACGGGCAACGTTCCTCCAGGCCTTCCTGTCCTCCACCATCTTCTGGAGTCCATTTAAGCTCACGCCTACTGCTTCAGTGACTCCATTCAGCCACCTCATTCTCTGTCGTCCCCTTCTTCTATTGCCCTCAATCTTTCCCAGCATTAGGCCCTTCTCCAATGAGTCCTTCCTTCTCATTGGTGGCCAAAGTACTTGAGTTTCAACTTCAGGATCTGGCCTTCTAAAGAGCAATCGGGGTTGATCTCCTCTAGGACTGACCAGTTTGAACGCCTTGCAGTCCAGGGGACTCGCAGGAGTCTTCTCCAGCACCATAGTTCAAAGGCCTCAATTCTTTGGCGCTCAGCCTTTCTTATGGTCCAATTGTTAAGTTAGTAACATGTTAAGTGAGTTTGGCTTCCCCATTGATTTTGCTTATCAAAAAGTCGCAAAAGGTGATCACATGACCCCGAGACACTGAAACCATCATAAACATGCCAGTTGCCAAGCATCCAAATTTTCCCGAATGAAGGCGAATATACGTGTCCTAGGATATGTTGCAGGATGCAATCTGAGTTGGTCACTGGGACCAGAGGTTTAGTCTTCCACGTTTTGGGACTTGTACTAGAGCTCGTCCGCAGGGAACCTTTCTCTAGCAAAGTGTTAAATGTATTTGTATAAAGCAGGGGTTCTCAACCTTGGCAACTTTA